TCTAGAAGGATGATTTGGTGTTCAACCAGCAGAGAGGGACAGAGAGTCTTGTATTAGTTTATTGTTTCTGTTTGCTCTGGAAACTGACAGTTGGAATTAATTTGGTTTAGATTTTGAGACTGAATCTGCCATTTCAAGCTATCTGGTAATCTCTAGCTTTTTGAAAATTCATTTATTTTGTACCAAAATGTAACTTTCTGGTTAAAAGAAGAAGGAAAAATAAAAAAGTTGTCTTTTGAGTAATGCTGTTTTGAATAATGTTACTAAACAGAAACAGTTTCATAGACATAGAGAACAGACTTGTGGTTGCCAAAGGGGAGATGGAATGTGGGGCAGGGATAGGGTGGGAGTTTGGGATTAGCAAATGCAAACTATTATTTATAGAATAGGTAAACAACAAGGTCCTACTGTAGAGCACAGGGAACTCTATTTAATATCCTGGCATAAACTATAATGAAAGAAAGTGTATATATATATATTATATATATGTATAACTGAATTATTTTACTGTACAGCAGAAATCAACATGACACTATAAATCAACTATACTCACTAAGTGAAAGTCGCTCAGTCGTGTCCGGTTCTTTGCCACCACATGGACTATACAGTCTATAGGAATTCTCCAGGCCAGAATACTGGAGAGAGTAGCCTTTCCTTTCTCCAGGGGATCTTCCCAACCCAGGTATCAAACCCAGGTCTCCTGCATTGCAGGCAGATTCTTTACCAACTGAGCTATCAGGAAACCCCATACGCACTAAAATAATTTTTTTTAAATAAATAAATAAAATAAAACAAAGCATTCTGCATTAAAGGAGTAGGATCTACAAGAGGTTAGAAATGAGGGAATTGAGTTTCTCAGGGCGGAGATGGGAGTGCTAACTTTGTTTCTCTAGGAGGTAGTAGGTTTGCTGGGGCGCGGCGGGTCGGGGGGAGGCACACGATGGGCATGTTAAGTTGTTTCAGTTGTGTCCGATTCTTTGTGTTTCCATGGACTGTAGCCTGCCAGATTCCTCTGTCCATGGATTTCACAAGCAAGAATACCGGAATAGGTTGCCATTCCCTTCTCCAGGGCATCTTCCCAACCCAGGGATCCAACCCAGATCTCCTGCATTGCAAGCAGATGCTTTACTATCTGAGCCACCAGAGGAGCAGAGGTGAGCTTAAACCCCAAGGAAAACCACCATTAGCTTATCTCCCTAATAAGTTTCAGGCACTTCCCTCAGAGAATCTACACTTTAACACCTTTTTTGATGAACTAGAGCTAAAAATGAAGGAAGTCTTTGTATTTGTTTGTTTTATGTTTTTTTATTACTTTTTTTTTTTTTTCCTCCTTCTTGCCTTAGATCCCAGAAATGGAGAAAACATATATTGCTGGTATTTCTTTTTGGCACTTCTGATATTCTGGGGCCAGACAGTCAAATCCTGGCTCTACCGCACACAAGCTGTGTAACCCAGGCAACTTTCTAATTTCTCTAAGCCTCAGTTTCCACTGTAACATGAGACTGGCTATGGGGTGAAGGTTGAGAATATCCACCAAAAGCTCTTAGCATCGTGGCATCCTTGACTGTTACCCAGGCTGGCACCGCCCTCCTGGCCAGTGCACGGGCTGTTCGGGGTCCTCCCTGGTGGAATCGACTGACCTTCATTGGTGACAGAGGAGAATGTGCTCTTGGTAAACATATTTGAGGCAGCTTGGTTGTATCGTGGGAAGAATGTGGCCTTTGGAGCCCACGCTTGGGCTCACATTCTTGCTGTATCTGCTCACTGGGTGACCTTGAATATTTAATTAACATCTGAATCCCTGTTTCCCCTTCTCACAAATGAATATCTAATACTCATTGGATTGGAGATAAGGCTGGTAGGGCATTATCTGGATGGACTGATTACTTGTTAATTTTCTCCTTCCCCCTTGTAACGACTTCACTGGAAGGAGAAAAGGTAAGCCTCCCTCTGGGGCCCCTCACTATGCATTCCGGGAGTCTTGGGTGTGTCCCCAAAGTCAGGATTGGCCCTCGGTCCTGGGAATGTGGTGGAGGGAAATACAACTTGCAAGAGTAAAGCAGTGTATCCCGAGCAATGAACTCAATTCCAGACCCTTTGAACAAATCATCACTCCTGTGGGAACCGTCCTCTTATCATTGGAACATTCTTCTTGATAAAATTATTTTAAATGTTAAAAGTAAAGATTTTTAAAAGCCTAATTCTCCTTCCTGCTGCAACTAGTTTTGGTTTTAGCTATTACCTTGCAGTCTTTGGCTGGGGCTTCCCAGGTGGCACAGTGGTAAAGAATCTGCCTGCTAGTGCAGCAGACTCAAGAGGCGCAGGTTCGATCCCCAGGTTAGGAAGATCCCTTGTAGAAGGAAATGGCAACCCACTCCAGTATTCTTGCCTGGGAAATCCCATCACAGAGGGCTACAGTCCATGGGGTCCAAAAGAGTCTTTGCCTACCTGCCAATATGATTTATTGTAGCTTCTGTCAATACTGTAATATTTATATTCTACTTTTAGAATATAAAATACAGTATTGTAAACTATTTATAGTCTACTTTTCTATGTATCACTATTCATTTGCTAGCACAGATTTCACATGATTCTATAAAATAGCTACATAATAGACCTCCTTGTAAAAGTTTTAGGATATTGGATATGAATGCTACAATGGCTTCTCTATGACTGCAGTTTAATCTTTTTCATTTTTCTCCTTAGTAGATTATATTCTTTGCAAAAAATTATGGAGGCTTTGATGCTTTATGGGCTTCCCTGATAGATGAGTTGGTAAAGAATCCGTCTACAATGCAGGAGACCCCAGTACGATTCCTGGGTCAGGAAGATCCACTGGAGAAGGGAAAGGCTACCCACTCCAGTATTCTAGCCTGGAGAATTCCGTGGACTGTATACTCCCTGGGGTCACAGAGTAGGACACAACTGAGCGACTTTCACTGATGCTTTATATCTGTAAATCAGTCCCCTATAAAAAAATGAGAAGGGCCCTTTGTTACCAAATAGTAGATTCTTCATCCGATTACAGCCAGGAATTTGTTTTGTTTGTTTAATTTGTACTGGAGTATAGTTGATTTACAATGTTGTATTAATTTCACATGTACACCAAAGTGAATCAGTTGTACATAGACATGTATCCACTCTCTTTTTAGATTCTTTCCCCATGTAGGTCATTACAGAGGGATGAGTAGAGTTCCTTGTGCTGTACACTAGGTTCTCATTAGTTATCTGTTTTATATATATCCCTATCTACCCAGCTTATCCCCACCTTTTACCCCTCGGTAACCATAGGCTTTGTTTTCTATATTTGTTTTTATTTAGTCTCTAAATCGTGTCTGACTTTTCGTGACCTCATGGACTGTAGCCTCCCAGGCTTCTCTGTCCATAGGCTTCTCCAGGCAAAAATACTGAAGTGGCTTGCCATGCCCACCTCCAGGGGACTCCCGACCCAGGGATCAAACCCATGACTCTTTCACTGGCAAGCAGTCTATATTGCTGAGCCACTGGAAGCTGTTTTCTACATATGAGATTCTATTTGTTTGGTAAATAAGTTCACTTGCACTGTTCTTTTTAGGTTTCACGTATAAGTGATATCATATGATACCTGTCTTTCTCTGTCTGACTTACTTCACTCAGTACAACAATCTCTAAGTCCATCCATGTTGTTGCAGGTGGTATTACTTCATTCTTTTTTATGTACAGCCAGGAATTTGATCAGTGGGCTGATTTCACACTTGGAGAAACTGGGGTACAGACACATTCTAACAGATCTACCCCTAGAATTCATACACCAATGTACTCATCTCATTTCTTTCTTTTTTTTTTTTTTTGATCACGCAGCACAGCTTGAGGGATCTTAGTTTCCTAACCAGGATCATACCCAGACTCCCAGCCATGGGAGCACAGAGTCCTAACCACTGAACCACCAGCAATTCTCTCATCTCAGTTTTTTAAGTGACCAGGAAAAGCAACGATATACATTTCAACAGTGGGTCCCTTGACAAATCACCCAGCATTTCCAGAGAGAAAAACCACCCTGGACTCCCTGGAAGTCTGGAAAAGAAAGATGATGGGGGAGGGGGCAGGAAGAGAATTAGGATGAATAATCTGTTACACAGACACTGTGTGCAGCAAGAATAAACTGAAAGGGCGCCCAGCCTGCCTCAAGGCACAGGATGTAGCTGTCCTTCTGAATGGCTCTTCTGTCCTATCGAGGCCCATTGTCTCATGGAACCCAGGCCTAACAATGTCCCATTGTGGCCGTGCAAAGACAAGGTGGTTAAATCCCAGTTTTCCAGCTGTCTGTCTTCATTTTCAGTCTCCGGGACTGGTCCCCTGAGGATGGCTCTGTTCCACGGCCTGGGCTCCACGCTGCCAGCCATGTAAGTAAGGACGGTTTACAGGCTCCTGGATCTGCCTTGGGAACAATTATAAATCTCTCATTTTGCTCTGGCTTTTATAAACATGTAAAGATGACAGCACACATTTCCAGGGTGATAACAGTAGGAGAAACTGTCTCTGCAATTGCCTACCCAGAGCCTGCTGTCCATCGCACAGCCACCTGTGTGTGGAACCATGAGGATGCTTCCCACGGACAGAAGATGCTCTTAAGGGCTTTATACAAATCAGTAACTGGATCAATACTTTCATTTTAAAGGAAATTTAAGGACCAACTTCAGTTGCAAGAGACTGTTTTGCTTTAAATAAGCCTGGAATGGGTGTTACTACCATGTGGGTTTTAAAACCCCTGCACTGAAACAATTCCTACTGGCAGCCAACTATTCTTGTTGCGCCAGGTTCTGGGTCATGTGACATCTCTGCATCGCCGTGGTGTGGAAGGACCGGGTAACCAGCCAGCTGGAGATGGTTAATAAGGAGGCACTGGAGTGATGGAAATCTCCCTGGAAATCACCTGCTTCCTATGTCACCTCCCAGATGGAGAAGGTACTGGCTTCTAAGTGGGAGGTTGTGCATCGCTTGCTGACAGTTTCTACAGAGAAATGAAAACCCAGGTGTTTCAGAGAAGGGAAAGCATTGTCATTGCCATGTGCTCTGTGGTCCTGCCTTTGTCTTTCTTGGTACTGATGGACTTTGCTTTAAGGCCCCAAGCAAGAATGCCTGCTGGATATGGGGGTGCACAGAAAGAAGAGGCTGATTCCTTGGAAAGGGATGGGTTGCAGGGTCTAAAACGTCCTCTTCTATATAGTCAAGGAGCCTGTGGACTGGACATGGAAGAAAGCACCCCAGCCCTGACACTGTCTGCACCGGGCAGCCACAGGCTGGGTGCTCCATCACGCTGCTGCATCCTCTCCCACCTGTAAGATGGGGTATCTGTTGTACCATCCTCACTAGATACAAAGAGACTTAACGCAGGTACAAGTACCTTATGAAAGTAAGTTCTGTCTTTTGTGTGGAGTAACAAGCAATCAGGGAAGGCTGGTACTTGGCTGTCACCAACACTGTGTGTCTTCAGGAGCTATTAGAAACAGGTGTACCTCTTTTAGCAACTTCCCCCACCCCTTTACACTGAGAACTGCTTTCCATATTTGCGAAGCTGTATTTCCTTCTGTCCTCCGCGGGGGTCGGGGTGTCAGGACTACTGATAACTTGTTTGGGCTTAGCAGGGAGCTTGTTAGGTCTAAGCTAAGGGGGAAGGGGAAGGTGGAAATAGGCTGTGGGGGAGGAGGTTTGGGAGACAAATCATAATCCACATTTTTTCCTAACAGGATATTGATCAAACCTAATTTTGGATAAAAGTGACGTAGGTGATATTTTCTAAATAGTGTTACAAACTTCTTAACTTAAAATGCCTACTCTTCACGTGTTTAGCTGTGCTGTGTGTTGTTAAGACTCTTTGGATCCAGTTTGGGGATCTAAACTCATCCACTATCAGTAGAGTGTTGTCCTTTTCCCTATCTGACTGTAAAAGAAGAGAAATACGTATTTTATTGGAGAAGAATGGATACATATATATGTGTGGCTGAGTCCCTTCCCTGTTCACCTGTAACTGTCACATTGTTAATCGACTCTACCCTGATGCAAAATAAAAAGAGAAAAGAAAGAAATGTGTATTTTATCTTGGTGGGTCTGAACCTCTTCACCAGCCTCAGTGAATACTTAGGGGGTGGCGTGACTGAAGGTCACCTGGAACCTCCGTCACGAAGGTCACGAAGTTCGTCATAGAAAGAAGTAAGTTAAGTGACAATCCTTCCTGCAATTTGTTGGAGCTCTGTTTCCCTGTCTGTGAAATGAGGAGCTTAGATTAGACGCTCCCGTCCGTCAGCACAGAGTAAACAGCATCCTTTCAGGATGATTTTCTCTGCTCCTGCCCCACCCTAACCTTGGGGCTTAGTAAATGGTCAACTCATCCACAGGGATGGGGAGGGGAGGGGTCCTCAAGGATTCTTCTGGTCCATTCAACCCTCGCCCACCATTCCAATATCTACCAGCAGGAAAACCCAAGATTTCTCCAAGCCAGTTGAGTTCAGTCAGCAATCCTATGGAGCCTGACGTACGAAACAAAATCTGTGCTAGGTTCTGGGAATACAAAGCAAGTGAATGCCTGTCTTCCAAGGGTTTTTCCATCTTGGAGGGGGAGAAGATAGTCAGGGAGACAGAACAGTGAGATAACAGTGAGATAAGGTCATGGCTCTGCAAAGTATGAGCTCAGGTGGGGAGGAGCATGCAGGGGAGAAGAGAGTCCCCTGGATCCTGCCTCCCTGGATGGATCACACAGTAACTCAGAGTCAGGTCTGTGGGGCTCCACCGCCAGCTTAGACCACACAGAGTCCACCATAACGTATTCACCCTCTAAAGACTACGCAGCCACTTCCAAACATTCTAATATAATCAGAGTTCATCTGTCAGAGGTGAGAGACCAGTGGCGGGAGACCCCTCCGGCCTTCACTAACCTTCACACAATGGGCCTGATAAAGCCCTCTCTTCAAACAAAGTGCCGGCAATCGCTTTATCAGATGCAATTACATTTTCTAATCTCGCAGCGACTTCCTTGAAGCCACTGAGAATCTCAGGTGAAGGATCTTCCCAGAGGTTATCTGTTTAGGTTCTGCCCAGTTTACGTCTGCAGGTCTAAGCTTTATTAAGCATTGTCCTGGCCCCACAGGTGGTGTCACACCTAAACCCAGACAGACTGACCCCCTGCGATAGGGGCTGTTGACTCTGTCTCTGAACCATGTGATCCCTGCGGCACCCAGCCCTCTCCCTCCTGCTTGGGAGGCCTGAGGCTGGTGGAACCTCGAAGGCATTTGGTGAAATCTGGGCTGAGATGGTGCCTAGTTCGTTCAGTGTGATGCCCTGAGTGAAATACACCTCACAGATGAGGTCTGGGTTACGCCTGAGGCTCTTGATTGCTGGACCCAAGATTTCACGTACAAGGAGGCTGTCAGTGTGATGCGTGATTAAAGACAAGTGGTGCAAAAACCTGGTCTGAGATTGTATAAACATCATAAGTAGGAAAAAAGAAATTAAGTAGGGAATTTTCCAGTAGTCCAGCGGTTAGGTCTCCACGTTTCCAATGCAGACAGCACAGGTTTGATCCCTGGTTGGAGAACTAAGAGCCTACAAGCCCCATGGCAAGGCCAGGAAAAAAAAAAATCATAGGTAGACAACCACGCACATAGATGCAAAGAAACGACTTATTAGAAAAGGCCCTGATGCTGGGAAAGATTGAGGGCAGGAGGAAGGGGATGACAGAGGACGAGATGGTCGGATGGCGTCACCAACTCGATGAACATGTGTGTGAGCAAACTCCGGGAGACGGTGATGGACAGCGAAGCCTGGTGTGCTGCAGTCCATGGGGTCACAGAGTCAGACACAACTTAGCAACTGAACAACAGCCAAGACAAGTGACCAGTTTGTCATCCAGGCCTTCTTATTTGTAACTTGATTAAAGAGAAGAAAAAAGTGGGGTGGGAGCAAGGAGGGACAATGCTGGCACATATTATCATCAGCACCAAATGCCTTCAAGTTCCTCATGTCTATCAGTGAGCTCTTCTCTTTGTGGGGGGAAGTATTTTCCTAGGAGCTTCAGGATTTCTCATCTCTGACTGTGCTGCTTGCTGAGGACTGATTTGGTCACAGGTTCCCTTACTCTCTCAGCAAACAATACAGACAGTCACCCCCTACACCTAAGCCTACTGCATCATAAAGCTCAGTGTTCTTTCTTGTCAAGTTAGAACCTTGAATGTCTGTCTGGTTAAACAGTATAGCCTTGCGGGTCCGTTCTTCAGAAATAACTGTGCAGTACTTCCATTTCCCAGGCACTCCTGTGAAAGAGTTCTGTGTGACTGTAACTAATTTGCCCTTTTCAGAAGTGATAAGTGCCAGTTAATTCAAGCACCAGGAGGTGGTAAACGGTACAAGAGAATAAATTAGCCACTTGGTCCGGGTGATCAGGGAAACCTCAATGGCTCAAGAGGTAAAGAATTTGTCTGCAGTGCAGGAGAGATGGGTTGAATCCCTGGGTCAGAAAGATCCCCTGGAGAAGGGAAGAGCAACCCACTTTAGTAATTCTTGCCTGGAGAATCCCATGGACAGAGAAGCCTGGTGGGCTACAGTCTTTGGGGTCACAGAGAGTCAGACTCAACTGAGCATGCACATGCACACCAGATGATCAGAGAAGCCACCTCTGAGGCAGTTGGGTAGCCTGGTATGTGGGGAACAGCCCATCCAGAAAGCTGACCACGGCCCTGCCTGAAAACCAGCTCTGTAACCAGGGGCCCCTCTGCAGCCTGAAATCTACCTTCCCCTAAGGGACCTGTTGGACCAGCACAGAGGGTCCCTCTTGACACCAGGACTTGGTCTTGCGCAAGGAACATCCTTTCTCTCTTGTACCACCTTTAACCCATGAGAACTATTTAGTCTGATCTATTTAAAGAAAGTGGTGCAATCATGCCAAGGTGAAGACTCTGCCAGAAAAAACAAAATCCTAATCACTCCTTTAAAGTTATATTTATTGCAAGTGCTGGGTAAGCTCTTCACAAAGCACCACCGGGTTAGACCTCACACCAACCACACAAATGGGCGTCACACCCATTTCTGAGATGCAGAAACTGGGGTCAAGAGGTTGGGAAGGTGCTCGGGTCACTCACTGGTACACAGGGCAGTGGGGAGGGATGAAGCCAGACCTCATATTCTTTACTGTTACTCTTGGAAACTAAACTCACAGAGCTTTGAAGAGCGTCTCATCTGGTCAGACAGAGCACATGGGGCTGGGACTGGGGCTGACCTAAAATTCTCCTGTGTTTACATGAACTTGGGTTTTCATTTAAAGTTCCTTTATAGTCTTCTACAGTTAAGTCTGTACGTTCTTGCATGAATCAGAAGAATTAAAAAAAAAAAAAGGAATTTGTGTGTAGGACATATGTTGTTAGTCACTCAGTTCTGTCCACGGCCTGTAGTCAGCCAGGCACCTCTGTCCATGGAATTCTCCAGGAAAGAATACTGGAGTGTGTTGCCATTTCCTTCTCCAGGGGATCTTCCTGACCCAGGGATTGAATCTGGGTCTTCTGCATTGCAGGCATATTCTCTATCATCTGAGCCACCAGGGAAGCCCAGGACAGATATTGTTAACATGAAAAATGTATTCCTATATACAGCTTTTAGTATACAGTTTTTCTACACACAGTTTTTGAATATAAATGTTTTACTATATACAGTTACAAATAGACGGGGAAACAATGGAAACAGTGAAAGACTTTAGTTTGGGGGGCTCCAAACTCACTGCAGATGGTGACTGCAGCCATGAAATTAAAAGACACTTGCTCCTTGGAAGAAAAGCTATGACCAACCTAGACAACATATTACAAAGCAGAGACATTACTTTGCCAACAAAGATCTGTCTAGTCAAAGCTATGGTTTTTCCAGTAGTCATGTATGGATGTGAGAGTTAGACCATAAAAAAAGCTCAATGTCAAAAAATTGATGCTTTTGAACTGTGGTGTTGGAGAAGACTCTTGAGAGTCCCTTCAACTGCAAGGAGATCAAACCAGTCAATTCTAGAGGAAATCAGTCCTGAATATTCTTTGGAAGGACTGATGCTGAAGCTGAAACTTCAGTACTTTGGCCACCTGGTGAGAAGAACTGACTCATTGGAAAAGACCCTGATGCTGGGAAAGACTGAAGGTGGAAAAGGGGACGACAGAGGATGAGGTGGTTGGATGGCATTACTGACTTGATGAACATGAGTTTGAGCAAGCTCTGGGAGTTGGTGATGGACAGGGAGGCCTGGCGTGCTGTAGTCCGTGGGGTCACAGAGTCAGACACAACTGAGCAACTGAACTGAACTGATACACAATAGGTG